TGAATGGGTGGTAGGATTATTTTCTCTTTTTCTTTCTAAGCAAGTGCACAAATTATTAGGCCTTATTTAGGATTCCTTATCGAATTTTATAAAGTTTTAAAATGTAATCCCATCACAAATAATATGAAACTCATACGGGGGAGAGCAAGAGATTTCATTTTTTTAAATTTAAGATTGTTTAACTTTAAATAAGTTAGGAATGACTAAAAGTAATTTCATATCTAAAATTAACATAGTGCTGTGCGATTTAAATATTTGGGCTTAAATTTATGCTTGACTATTCTCAACTTTAAATTTTGCTTGGTGAAAGTTTTTTAATATTGAATTTATACCTTTATCGACATACATTTTATAAAAATTAAGTTGTCTTTGTAAAAACACAAGGTGTATATTGTGATTTTTCTTAAAAAACATAATTTGTGTATTATGCATTTTTTTTCGATTTTCCTTAATATTTTCAGCTATTTTTTTTAATTTCTTAAAATATTAAAAGACAAAATTAAAACATGAATTTAAAGGGCAAATAAAAGACCACAATAAAATTCCTTTTTCTTTTCCACTCTTTTGGAGAAGTCGGCTTATTTATCTTTTGGATCCTAAATTCAGTCGCAAACTATAATCTGACCTATAAATACCTGAAATTGATTCATCTGTCATCAGAACGGCAACGGACCTCGTAGTTTATTTAACGCAGCAACATACTAGTGGTCGCCGGAATTTAGTTCCCAGCAATTACTCGAGCGGAAATTAGTTTCTCTGCAATTACCCACTTTTTAGCTATTGCTCAGATGGCAGACCACTTAAATATGGTATGTAGATTCTTGCTTTCTCAGTTTTTCAGTGAAATATTGCATTTTATCATTTGGGATATCTCAAATTTGGGATTTTTTTGAGAAATTGATTTTGATTGCTTTATGGGGTTTTGCTAATTGTATTGTGTATTAGAGTATATTATGTAGTTTATTCTGATTTTGGGTCCTCCTCATACGCTGTTTCTTTGGTATATTGAACCTTTTTAAGCTTGGAGAACAATATTTCATGCTTGTCTGTTCTCTGTGTGTAATGGATCGTACCTATTTTCTTGTGTTGTACTAAGAAGTGATATCTGAGTATTTCAGCTCTTCTTACTCAGTGTTGTGCTTGTAGGAGATTGAAGAGGAGGATGATTATGTTGAGTATGTACCAGTTACAAAGCGCAGGGCAATTGAGGCCCAAAAGATCCTTCAGCGCAAGGGGAAATCTGAAGCATTTGAAGAAGAAGAGGAGAAAATAAAGCTTGTTGAAGTGAAACCGAGTTTACTTGTCAAGGCATCTCAGCTCAAGAAAGAGCAACCTGAGATAAGTCATGCTGAACAAGTGTTTCAACAAGAGAAGGAGATGATTGAGCATTTATCTGATAAGAAAACGTTGATGTCTGTTCGGGAACTAGCCAAGGGCATTACTTATACAGAGCCTTTGTGCACTGGATGGAAGCCACCCTTAGCCATCAGACGGAACTCAAAGAAAGCTTGTGATGCCATTCGAAAACAGTGGCATATCATTGTGGAAGGGGATGATGTTACCCCACCAATCAAGAACTTCAAGGATATGAGGTTCCCTGAACCAATTCTGAAGAAACTCAGAGCAAAGGGTATTATTCAGCCAACGCCAATCCAAGTGCAGGGGCTTCCAGTAATTTTATCAGGTCGGGATATGATAGGTATAGCTTTCACAGGTTCAGGTAAGACATTAGTTTTTGTGCTGCCACTTATCATGGTGGCATTGCAAGAAGAAATCTTGATGCCTATTGCCCCTGGGGAAGGACCATTTGGCTTGATTATTTGTCCATCTAGAGAGCTTGCCAGACAGACATATGAAGTTATAGAACAGTTTATAGAACCTCTGATGGAGAGTGGCTATCCGGAATTGAGGCCTTTGCTGTGTATTGGTGGAGTTGATATGAAGTCCCAAGTTGATGTTGTGAAGAGGGGAGTTCATATTGTTGTTGCTACTCCTGGAAGACTGAAAGATCTGCTAGCAAAGAAGAAAATGAACCTTGACAACTGCAGGTGAGGACCAACACTTTTAGTTGAAATTTATCTGAAGAGTCTCTTAAATGTTCTGTTTTAACTTGAAATTACCCCCCTTAAATAGGGACTTTTCATCTGGATGGGACATCGGCTAAATAGAATCAGCATTTGATGAAAAAACATAGGGCAATGGTGATATTTTGTCCCTGGTTCTGTCTGATGTAGTTAAAAATGTTCTGTTGCTTAGAAAAGTGTCTTCAAAATCAGCTAGTTACTTATACAGGCTTCTAATTAATCCACCATTACAAGGCCGAAGGCCGAAGAAGTATTGGAGAGAGGTGAATAGATAGGACATGGACCAACTTTAGCTTACTGAGGACATAACCTTAGTTAGGAGGTTATGGAGGACACGAATTAGGGTAGAAGGTTAGTTAGATAGTTAAGAGTTGTCTCAATTATTCCTCTGCGCTATTAGCCGTACTATTAGTTGTAGTATTAGTCTTGTAGTTTCTTGTCCCTTGAGTTTGGCTATTATCTGGTGTCTTTTGTACTTTGATTATCATTTTATCTTGTTATGATTACTATTCAAGATGCTTTGTCAGGTTGATATATAGTGTTTGCCATGACTTCTTCATTTCCGTTATTTTTTTCTCTATACTGATTTGGATTGTTTATTTCCTTGAGGTGAGGTCTATTGTAAACAACCTTTCTACCTAGGTAGGGTAATGTATGCGTACACTTTTGCCCTTCCTAGACCCTACTTTGTGGGATTACATTGGTATGTTGTTGTTGTTGTTGTAATTAATCCACCATTTGGGATCATAGGCCTTCATTATTATAACTCACGTGTATGTTTCTGGCCGGTGGGTGTTTCACACAATATGTTCTTCTATTCTGTGTGTACCTGTTGCTACATTTACTTGGGTTCACATATGAGAGGAAAAGAGAGATGCCTTTGCGTTATGTGTCACAAACAGTTAGCAACAAATCTACATTTTCCAGCCATATGTTATTTTGTATATGTGAAACATTTCATGATTCTTCCAGATTTTTTTATTTGAAAATTTTGAGTGCTTACCAAATTGTTGCTTTCTTGCAGATTCTTAACGCTAGATGAGGCTGACAGACTGGTAGATCTTGGTTTTGAAGATGATATTAGGGAGGTGTTTGATCATTTCAAAGCTCAAAGACAAACTCTTCTATTTTCTGCTACAATGCCCACAAAGATCCAAAACTTTGCAAGAAATGCACTAGTTAAACCAGTAATTGTGAATGTGGGCAGAGCTGGAGCAGCCAATCTTGATGTGATCCAGGAAGTGGAGTATGTGAAGCAGGAGGCCAAGATTGTTTACCTTCTCGAATGCTTGCAAAAAACACCACCTCCTGTTTTGATTTTCTGTGAGAATAAGGCTGATGTGGATGATATCCATGAGTATTTGCTCTTAAAAGGAGTTGAAGCTGTGGCTGTTCATGGAGGCAAGGATCAAGAAGAGAGAGAATATGCAATTGCAGCTTTCAAAGCATGCAAGAAAGATGTTTTAGTTGCCACTGACGTTGCCTCAAAGGGGCTGGATTTTCCTGATATCCAACATGTGATTAACTATGATATGCCTGCTGAAATTGAAAACTATGTGCACAGGATTGGACGAACAGGACGATGTGGAAAAACAGGAATTGCCACCACATTTATTAACAAGAACCAGAGCGAAACAACTCTGCTTGATCTAAAGCACTTGCTGCAAGAAGCAAAGCAGAGAATCCCTCCAGTCCTTGCAGAACTCAATGATCCCATGGATGATGTAGATGCCATCACAGATGCAAGTGGAGTAAAGGGTTGTGCTTATTGTGGTGGGCTTGGTCATCGTATCCGGGACTGTCCCAAACTAGACCACCAAAGAAGCCAACAAATTGCAAATTCAAGGCGGGACTACTTTGGCTCCGGAGGTTATCGTGGAGAAATTTGATTCTAATTTTCGTTTGTTTACTTTAACATGCAAAATATGTTAGCTTATTCTGTACCTTGTGACCAAATTCAGTAGTTTTGCCACAAATGTAGTTCTATTACGTATCTCACAGTAATTCCTGAAGTTATAGTTTCTACAATGTTCTTGAATGTAAGACATGGCATATAATTTGCAGCATACATGTTTCAAGTCTAAAATATCAAATCTATGAGGTCTTAGAAGATGGATATTCGTCCTTTTCTTGTTTCTTTTTCATCGCATTTTTCCATGTATATCAATGTTGCTGATTTCTTTTTAAGAATTGCAAGAGTAAAGCTGGCCTTGAAGCTCACAGAAATCACATGGTTAATGTCTCCGAGTATATAGCCTTTTATCTGAGGATGAAAGATGTATTAGTAGCAAAAAAATTATTCCAAGCTATGTTCCCAAAGCAGAAAATGGTTTGGGCCTTATTAGAAAGCTAACTTTAGGCCACTTACAGTTGCATAAATAGATAATTTTATATTTCAAAAACTTTAGGCCACCGTTGCATAGACGTATTCAGGATTTGAAGTTTATTGCTTTTTAGTACAACTTCAAGTTAATGTACAATAGTAGTTGAGTTCACAATCGAATATTTATATGCCTAAAAGCTATTGGGTTTCTGCGAATCTATAGTTTGTGCTCTAGATCTGCTACAGCTTGCAAGAGACAGTTAGGGCAACATGTCAAAAAGTCTTTGGCTTCTTTGTTTTGAGCTAAATATATTCTAATGGTTCAAGCAACACAGCATTTTCCTCTCAAATTTCTCTTCCCGAGGGTAAATTATGCAAGTATGGGAAGTTTTTGGATTAGCATGACTGCAGTCTGCAGGCCCCTCCACATGTGGGGACAGTTGCATTTGTCTTTCCTAGCTGTGTTGAACTAATCTTACGTTTGATCCTTATCTTCTGTTAAGAAACACTCCAACTCGTTTCTACTGTATCTCGTGGACACCCAACACTGATGTGACATATAAATTTTAAAAGTGTCTAGATTATCATTTTGTAAGTTGGAGTGTTCAACAGACAGAGTGGAGACAAGTTGAGGTATCTAGATGTCCACTCTCAAAGTTGGATGCTTACTTGCCAACTAAGGCCAAATTAAGTGTCTGTATTATGCCTACATATAATGCTATCACTCTGGAACCTGAACTTCTAATTGGAAACCCATTGGATAGTGTTACTTGATCATAGCATAAGCATGGCTGCATATTCAGTTCCACCTGTAGAGGAGTTGCTGTCAAAAAGAGTTCAAGAAATGGTCCTTCATGGGGAGGAGCCACTAGGACCTTATATTTGCAGAAGTGGTGACGATGTTGATGAAAAAGAAGACATCATGGATACTTCTCCAATTCCTATAATTGATCTAAACCTCCTGTCTTCTTCAACAACATCAGATAACGAACGCGAACAAGAGTTGGAGAAACTTGGATCAGCTCTATCTTCTTGGGGATGTTTTCAGGTTTAGGACATTCCAAATACTGTATCTGAATTCTTTCTACTATGCAACTTTCTTGATATTCAAAGAGTTTTATTTGATGAGCAGGGAATAGCACATGGGATTTCAGCTTCTTTACTGGACAAAATCCGCCAAGTTTCAAGGGAATTCTTCAACCAGCCAATGGAAGAGAAGAACAGGTATGCTAAATCAGTTGTTGATTTCCAAGGTTATGGAGCTGATCCTGTTCCAGAACAAGGTCAGTCCCTTGATTGGTCTGATCGTCTCTTCCTCGAGGTGTTCCCTGAAGATGGAAGACAGTATAACCTCTGGCCACAAATCCCAATATCATTCAGGTTAATGGACAGTTGATCAGTTGCACTTTAGTAAGATACCTAGAGTATTATAGTAACAGTCTATAGACAAGAATGATCTAGCAAGCTAATATTTGACTCTATATTTACATTATTGTCACCTAAAATAAAACTACAAGTAGCCACCTAAAAGTAGACTTATTAGTAACTGGGAGAACAACAAAGGTCACCTGCTACAAGTTAAAATGCATGAATAGTGTTTACACTGTCAGTGTATATAAGTGAAGTCACATACGCCTACAAGGTGCCTGCTTTCTTGCTTAGTAGCTAAGGTTTCTGCCAAGTTCCAGTTTTCTGTCTCAGCACTCAGCTAATCATGTGTTGTACACAAATACTGTAAACTCAGAGACTGAACAGTATAAGCAACTAATAAGTGATGAATCAGAAGTGACATGACATATGGTAAGTGGTAACATCATGGATTTAAGCATAGGCATGTTAGACAGATTGCACATTTTTTCAGCTAGCTCCATAAACAAATTTGAGTATTTTGCTTATTCGTATTTAATGCTGGTTCACTCATACACGTAGCTATCTGATTACATTTGTTGTGCAGAGAGGTCTTAGAAGATTATTCTGAGAAAATGAAAATGGTCACAGAAATTACCTCTAAAGCTATGGCAAAGTCGTTGAAGCTGGAAGAAAAGTGCTTCTTGGAACAATTTGGAAAACAAGCACAACTGCATGCGCGGTTTAACTACTACTCGCCATGTCAGAGGCCTGATCTGGTTCTTGGCTTAAAACCCCATGCTGATGGAACAGGATACACTATTATTCTGCAAGATGAAGTAGGACTCCAAGTGCTTAAGGATGGCAAATGGTATACAGTACCAAAAAATCCTACAGCTCTGCTTGTTCTCATGGGTGATCAAATGGAGGTACATAGAAGTTCGCTTTTTTTCTCTATAAATATACATGTACTCTATGGATTGCACATGTACTACTTGTAGTGATGCATTCCATTTTCCACAATGAAATTGACAGATAATGAGCAATGGAATATTCAAGAGCCCGGTGCATAGGGTAGTGAGTAATTCAGAGAGGGATAGAATTTCTATCGCAATGTTCTACACGCCTGAATTAGGGAAAGAAATCGGACCAGAAGATGACTTAGTCAATATGGACAGACCAAGGATATACAAGAAAGTGACAGATTATGCAGAAACTCATTGGAAGTTTTACCAGCGTGGTATGAGAGCACTACACACTGCACACATTTAGAACTACTATCTATCTATATATGTCTTCCTCATGTTGTTTGGGCATGGATAGAAAGTCTACAACTCCAATTTTGGCTTTACATTTTTTTCACCTCAGGTTCGGAAGAAGAAGGCACCATTCTAATAAATGAATCATCCAATGATGATTTGGTCTGCAAATTGGAACTCTTTTATTTGAGCTCATTCTCTTAATTTCCTTCAAGCATTCCAATATTAAGTTAGACAAGGATTCAGCAATAGAAAAAATGAACTAAAAAGGCATTGCATAAAATTTGCTGCATACACGTTTAAAGTCTAAAATATCAAATCCATGAGGCCTTTGAAGATAAATATTTGCAGACGTGTGCACAATAAGCACATTTAAAGGAAAAATCACAGTAGTAGCCCAGAAATTGTGACTTATTTCAATTGATGTAACAGGTCCATGACGATTGACGACTGTCATATCATATGGCAGGACAAAAAAGTAGAATAAGTCAACAAATATTCTTCTTTGAACTTCTGCCCATAAATAGATACTATTTGATATTTCAAAAACTTTAGGCCACTCGCAACTGTACAAGACGAATTCACCATTAAATATTTATAGATATATAGTTTACTTTTTAATTATTAGTATACATTTTTGGCTACAATTCCTTTTCCTCACAAGTATCTCTTCCCAAGGGAAAATACAAGTATGAGAAGTTTTGGATGAACATGGCTGCAAGTCTGCAGGCGCCTCCACATGTAGGGACAATTGCATTTGTCTTTGCTAGCTGTGTGGACCTCATCTTACGTTCAATCCTTATCTTCTGTTAAGAAACACACACACACACACATATATACTGTATAATACATATAAGTAAACACTTTAACTTGAGAGCACATGTTTAGACATCTTAACTTGATTTCAAGTCTCAACTGACAACTAAACACTCCAATTTGTTTTCATTGTGTCTCGTGGACATCCACACTGATGTGACATATGAATCCGTGTCTAAATGATCATTTGTAAGTTAGAGTGTTCGACTGACATAGTGAAGGCGAGTTGAGGTGTCTGGTCTCAAAGTTGGAGTGCTTAGTTACTTGCCAGCTAAGGTCAAAGTTGAACTGTTGTTTATGTATTATGCCTACTATGTATAAATGCTATCACCCTGGAACCTGAAGTCTAATTCATTAACTTCTTATTGGAAACCAACTGGATAGTGTAACTTGATCATAGAATTAGCATGGCTGCATATTCAGTTCCACCCTCAGAGGTGTTGCTGTCAAAAAGAGTTCAAGAAATGGTCCTTCATGGGGAGGAGCCACTAGGACCTTATATTTGCAGAAGTGGTGAAGATGTTGATGGAAAAGAAGACATCATGGATACTTCTCCAATTCCTATAATTGATCTAAACCTCCTATCTTCTTCAACAACATCAGATAACGAACGCGAACAAGAGTTGGAGAAACTTAGATCAGCTCTATCTTCTTGGGGATGTTTTCAGGTTTAGGACATTCCAAATACTGTATCTGAATATGTTCTACTCTGCAACTTTCTTGATATTCAAAGAGTTGTATTTGATGAGCAGGGAATAGGACATGGGATTAAAACTTCTTTCCTGGACAAAATCCGCCAAGTTTCAAGGGAATTCTTCAAACAGCCAATGGAAGAGAAGAACAAGTATGCTAAATCAGTTGATGATTTTCAAGGTTATGGAGCTGATCCTGTTCCGGAACAAGGTCAGTCTCTTGATTGGTCTGATCGTCTCTTCCTCGAGGTATTCCCTGAAGATAGAAGAGAGTATAACCTCTGGCCACAAATCCCAATATCATTCAGGTAAATGGACAGTTGATCAGTTGCACTTTATAAGATAGCTAGAGTACTGTAGTAACAGTCTACAGACAAAATGACCTAGCAAGCTAATATTTGACTCTATAAGCAGCTAATTAGCAATGATTCCGAAGTGATATGCCATGACATGGCATATGGTAACATCATGATTTCAAGCATAAGCATGTTAGACAATTTTCCAGCTAGCGCCTCCATAAACTAAAATTTGAATATTTTGCTTATTCGTTTTTAATGGTGATTCACTCATACTGGTAGCCATCTGATTACATTTGTTGTGCAGAGAGGTCTTAGAAGATTATTCTGAGAAAATGAAAATGGTCACAGAAATTACCTCTAAAGCTATGGCAAAGTCACTGAAACTGGAAGAAAATTGCTTCTTGGAACAATTGGAAAACAAGCACAATTTCATGCGCGGTTTAACTACTACTTGCCATGTCAGAGGCCTGATCTGGTTCTTGGCTTAAAACCCCATGCTGATGGAACAGGATACACTATTATTTTGCAAGATGAAGTAGGACTCCAAGTGCTTAAGGATGGCAAATGGTATACAGTACCAAAAGATCCTACAGCTCTGTTTGTTCTCATGGGTGATCAAATGGAGGTACATAAAACACTCTCTGTTATAAAAAGATACAAAAAAATTTGGTTTAAAAGCACTTAAAATAAGTCAATCTTATCAGGCTTAGTGTGTTTATTTATTCACTTCTTCAAGCTTATTAAAAGTTCTGCTCACGCCACTGTGTCCCTTCCCTCCTGCCATATTACCATGATCACACCTGCAGTTGCTTAGTTTATGGCTCAACGTAACTATATATAGAAGTTTGTTTTTTTCTTTTTTCCTATAAATATTCATGTATTCTATGGATTGCACATGTACTACTTGTAGTGATACATTCCATTTTCCACAATGAAATTGACAGGTAATGAGCAATGGAATATTCAAGGGCCTGGTGCATATGGTAGTGAGTAATTCAGAGAGGGATAGAATTTCTGTCGCAATGTTCTACACACCTGAATTAGGGAAAGAAATCGGACCAGAAGATGACTTAGTAAATATGGACAGACCAAGGATATACAAGAAAGTGACAGATTATGCAGAAACTCACTGGAAGTTTTACCAGCGTGGTTTGAGAGCACTACACACTGCACACATTTAGTACTACTATATATGTCTTCCACTGTTTTCTTTATGCTGTAGCGCGAAGAAGTTTTGGAGAGAGGTGATGAGATGCAGGTTCAGGTTACCGAGTAGATGACCCTAGATAGTAGGGTGTGGAGGACACGTATTAGAGTAGAAGAGTAGTAGGTAGTATAGTATTGTCTTGTTTAGGGTGGCTAGTGTTTGTGATGGTACTAGTTGTTTATTTTTTTAATAATATATCCTAGTATATTGTTTATGATATTTCAATTATCACGTGATTTTATTGTTGTTTTGGCAGCTTTTGCACTATTCCTTGTTACTTGCTATATTCTCTTCATTGTCTCTTCTTCTTTATACCGAGAATTGTTGCACTTGACCAAAGGGTCTTTAGATAACAGCCTTTCTACCTCCATGAGGTAGTGGTAAGGTCTACATACGTACCCTCCCCAAATCTCACTTGTGGGATTTCATTGGGTATGTTGTTGTTGCTCAGAAGAAAAAAGCATCATTCTAATAAATGAATCATCCAATGATTATTTGGTTTTCAAATTGAAACTCTTTTATTTTGAGCTCATTTTCTTTAATTTCCTTGAAGCATTCCAATAAATATTAAGTTAGACTAGGCTAAATAACAAGAAAATTGTAAAATACTAAGTGAGCAGAGAGAAAAAGACACAATGATAGTAACACAAGCCCACAACTACCAATGTAAGCTATAAAAATGAAACCTTGCTTCGTGTAACAAAATAAACGATGTACTAAACATGGATAATGACGTTACAGACAACTGAAAGACTAGGTCTACCAAAGAAAACTAATTAACTAGGTGTGGTCGCCATCGTCATCTTCAAACTAAACCTGTGACTAGCTAAGAACTAATGAAGAAATCCCATGCTTATGGAAATTAGAGCAGAAAGGTTGGTGAAGAATGGAAATACCATAGGGCTTGGTGAAGTGTCTTTCTACTTAGAAAATCTTGAAAAGTATACCGCCATGTGTTGCAAAGATTGGAGCAAAGACAAGTGACTCTACTGCCATCAGCTTGATTAGGATATTGAGTGATGGACCTGAAGTATCCTTCAGAGGATCACCAATGGTGTTGCCAATAACCGCAGCTTTGTGTGGTTCAGAACCCTTTGGGCCAAGGGTCCTTGCATGCTCTGAAGCACCAGCCTGGCACATACTCGGCAGTTAGCAAACTTGGAGTGTCTAATAAAATATCAGTGCATAGATGTGTTTTAATTTCTTTACCTCAATATACTTCTTGGCATTGTCCCATGCACCACCAGTGTTTGATGCAGATATTGCAATCTACAAAATGAGACAGATAGGAGCAGATTCTTACGCCATATTCTTCCAAAAAGGAACTGTTCTGGAAAGGTAAACAACCAACTCGAACAGAAAATAAAATGTACAACGTTAAAGAGGGTTGAATCAATTATACCTGAACACCAGAAACCAAAGCACCGGCAAGAACACCAGAAAGAGTCTCCACTCCGAAGAAAATTCCAACTATGAGGGGCGTAAGCATGACCAGAGCACCTGGGGGAATAATTTCTTTAATAGAAGCATCAGTCGAGATCTTAACACAAGTAGTGTAATCAGGCTTGGCAAGGCCTTCCATGAGACCAGGGATGGTGTTAAATTGTCCGCGAACTTCCTCAACCATCTTCAGAGCTGCACTACCGACACTCTTCATGGTCATGGCAGAGAACCAGTAGGGAAGCATGGCACCAACAATCAAACCAATGAAGACCTTGGGGGTCAAGACATCGACTGTTGAAATTGAAGCCCGACTCACAAAAGCACCAAACAGGGCCAGGGACACAAGTGCAGCGGATCCAATGGCATATCCCTAGGAATTAAAAAGTTCATACTAGGTTAGATAAAAGGAGAAATGCTGAACAAATTTAGCATTGTGAGAATGCAAATATGAAAATCAAATCATGATTAGTGTCTCAAAAAAAGTAATCTCAAATCTGATTGACCAAAAAGAAACAAGAGTACCAAATGCATCACTATGACAAAATTGTGATCTCTAAACAAATTTATTGCCATGCATTTGCGTAAATATGCGCAAGCAATATGTCTAAAATGGATCTACAAACGGTCACAGAGAGGAAAGCAAAACAAATAAGATACAACCTTTCCAATAGCAGCAGTGGTGTTTCCAGCAGCATCAAGGGCATCAGTTCTTTCACGGATCCGGTGGCTCATTCCAGCCATCTCAGCTATACCTCCAGCATTGTCACTGATAGGTCCATATGCATCAATGGCCAATCCAGTAGCAATGGTACTCAACATTCCAAGAGCAGCAACAGCGATACCATACATGGCAGCAAAAGTAAAACTGACAAAGATAGCTATTGCAATGGCTAAGATAGGAATGATGACAGATTTGTAGCCAAGAGCAAGGCCAAAAATAACATTGGTTGCAGTTCCAGTCCTGCAGGAGTCAGCTACATCTTGGACAGGGCTGCAATAGAAACAAGGGGAGAACATACATAAGATGAAGTTACATCACTGTAACAAGTACATAAAATCACAGTATGAAGACAAACTACTAATCTAACCTGTAAGCATTGCTAGTGTAGTACTCTGTGACAAATCCTGATAAGTCCAGCCCAAAGACCAATACTGATATTCAGTGAAAAGGAAGGATGTTGCCCCTGCCACAATAAGCAAATCAATTAGTATTAGATACTAACTCAAAAGATTTCACGTCTAGCCAAGAGGATTTAATTTAAACCAATGCTTATGAGTGAGTCAATAGGAAAAACAGGAGACAAAAGGAAGCAGCTTAAAAAAATAAGGGAGACAAGGGAAAGACATTGAGATCAGAAACATGATAAAGGCGATTTAACAGAAAATGACGAATAGAACACTCCCTAGGCTACATTACATATAGCACTAGCATAAAAATACATAATTTTACTTCTCAGATAATCACGTTGATTTACATAATCAAGACAAGCATTATTGACCAGGGCATAAATATCTGAGGAACTGGCCCTTACATTTTTTTTAGTTTTTGAAGTGGCTGACTGCAATGACATGGAGTTGCCAGGGAATCAGTAATATGAGTTGCCAGCAAATCATTAATACTTAACTACAATCATACAATATTTCATCATTATATTGACTCGTGTGATATGGATACACAGATAGCAGCATTGAGGCTGAGTAAACTATCAAGGTTTAAGCCCACCTTAAATGAGGATTTAACAATACTTAGGCTGAACCAACTAAGAGAAGCAGACGAATAGCATAATGAACGAAAAAAGGTAAATTTCAAGTCAATACAATAGCACCAAGTCCACACCAACAAATGAGGAAGCCTTTTTTCTGAAAGATTTGGAGATAACAAACTGAATTGAAACAGAAATAACATCTATAGCATGTATTCCTACATGCTCAACCAACTTTAATAATTGATCAAGTCTCGGTGCCAAACCAAAGGATATGTTTAATTTAGCAAAATGAAAAGAAGAGACAAAACTATACAACCATAACATTGTTCACTAGGATGACAGACGACATAATACTAATGTGAACTAAGCAGCATTACCTCTACCTCAGGAGGTAGAGAGACTGATTCCAAAAGACACTCTTGGCTCAAGTGGAGCTCCATAAAAGACGAAATGAACACACAAAGAGCAACTATTCACAACTATGGCTACAACATGATCTTTCAATAAACAAAAGAGATCTAAAAGAAGGTAACTTTCACCTTCGGAGATGGCATTCTGTATTTCGGCACACTTAACAACAGCGTTCTGGTCATTGATACCTTCCTCTTCCTCAACTAAACTTTCGTTGAATCAATTATTCTTGTTGTTTCTCGGAGAACAACCTCCCTGGTCAGGCGACAGTTCGAGACAAGGTACCATTGTACAAGAGAGAACACAATTCCGATAACGGCGCAAATCGGAATTACAATCTCTGTACCGAATTCCGACAACAATGCTGATCCCATTGTACCACTAACTAAGTCGCCGGAAACTGAAACCGCCGGCAGAAAAATAAAAAAGAAATAAAATTACTATAAATAGAAAGACGGAAAATGATAAATGAAGAGAAAACAGGGGAGTGAGGATTTTATACGAGATTCGAGGATTTGGAGGAAGGTTAAGGTGTAACTCTCCTTACGACAGTTATAGTGAGACTGCGTTTTATAGCCGTCTGTTTTATTACTCTAGAATCTAGATCGAGAGGATTATAATAAATAAAGAATTTAAGTACGTTTTGATTATTATTTATGGAATTATTATTTTCTATTTTACATTTTCTTATTATGATGATTATTTGATTTTTTTGTTATCTTGGACATGAAATCTATATCCAATTATCTTGGCTATTAATAAATAAACAATTCTTTGGTGCAAAATAAATAGACATTAAACATTATTTCGTTGCAATTTGGTCTAAATATCTTTATTCTTTTAATGAAGCGATTTCTTTCTTAAATAGGTTGTGTATTTAGATAAAATTAGGATAATTGTGCAGGTGTAAACATAAAACCTTGTGTAGGAAATTGAATTTGCAAGAAAAATGTAATAATTTTCTTTTTTACATATTTTTGAAAGAAAATACAAAATTATTAGGTTTGACAGTGATCAGTAATAAATATGAATGTAACGATTGATATTTTGAATGCCACGTTTCCGATTGTTATGATGGATAGATATAGCGGTGGTCGGTGAATGAAGGATAAGGTAATGACGTTATTGTTTTAAGTAAATACGCACAAAACATCTGATCAGTCATTTTAATCTCAATTAACTAAATAATAAAGTAGGAAGTAAGAAAACATATCACTTAATCATAATTAAACTATTCGATTCAAATTTTTAACAATTTTTTTAACTAATTGTTGAGGTTATACAGATGAATGAGTAAATAATGATATTTTTTTCTCTCATTAAATAAGATACGCATATCTTCCTTTTCAATTTTAATTCTTCCTCTCCTTCATACTCACTTTTTTTTTCTTGGTATTTTTTATGATTTCACTTTCTAATTTCAACACAATTTATCTGAATTAACTATTTCATTTTATCATGTTTGATTCATATATTGAAAAACAAGTTATTATGTTACATCCTTCTAACATAAAAGTTTTCGAGGACAAGTTACATAAGGTTCGAAACTTTATAAATTTTGAAACCGCAATGTGAAAGATTCGTTTGAATCCAACCAACATGGATTTTTAGCTAAAATCACCTAATTTACCCACTACTCTTGAACTTCAGATTTCAATTGTATCAAATATTTCTTCTATTTTCATTTTGTTATCGGGATAAAATTTTGCATATTCATTATAAAATTATAATAAAATATTTCTTTTGTTTCATTTGGTAAAACATAATCAAGTCTCTATTAATTCTCTAAAATAACACATATTTGGGAATAATTATTTTTAATACATGATAACTAAATGAAAACGAAGAAAGTACTTCACAGGCGATAAATAAGATTGATTATGTTGCAAATGAACCAATTCAACAATTTGTATAGTATCCTTGTGTTCCCTTTTACTAATTTAGTATATAAAAAAAAACAAAAATTTCTTACTCGTCCATTATAATAAATTAAAAGAGATTTATTATTTCAATTTATTACTCTTTTTCATTAAGTAAGTAGTAATCTTAGGAGGATCAAATAAGCACCACTAAAAGTTGAAAGAAGACAATTTATGAGATTTTTCGACACAAATTTAAATTAACCAGGCCAGAAAATACATATGCTAGCAGACCGTGATTAACCTTCCCATTTATTTGATTTCCTTTTTTTTTTTCCGTTTAAATATAACTAAGGGGTAGGTAAGATCCAATTGGAAGTCAATAATTATGAAGGAAAAATCATTTTGGCGAGAAAATTTGATTAGAATTTGGCCAGAATGATAAAACAACATATTACACATTATGTTATTTTACCTTTTTGAACATTTTTACCTTTGTAACTTTAATACTATCTTTTAATTAAAAAATGAAAAAAAGATCAATTTATTTTAAAATAAAAAAGATATTATAGACTTTTAAAATTTCTGACCAAATTCTAGCCAAATTTTCTGGTCATTTAGCATTAAACTGATGGCGTCTCGACGTTCTCCTGGCGCTCTCCCCTTTCTTATGTAAAAAGGCCCACGTTTTTTGGCTTCCTATAAACCCCTCCTAGGTTGTGGCAACTTTCTACTCCTCCTGAGCGGTCTTGCCGTATCTAAAATGACTTCGAGCATCCAGCTTCACCATTGCTGCCTGCTCTCTCCTTCTTCGGCACTTCCCAGCCCTTCCCACCATACCTGGACATCGACTAAAGTCTCGTATCCCTTATCGCCTTTTTATCCATCCCATACTGCTTTTGAACCGCCTACTTCTATTCGCCAAGCCCATCCCGCAGCAAGAACTTCGTTTTCTTACCTCATTACCCAATTGTGAAATCATTTTTATTGGAACTCGTGCATGCTATATGAATTTATAGTATCTTGATCAGGGCGTGCATACTTCTGAATTTCGATTTTAGTTTCATGGTAAGTGGTGAAGCATTTTTAAAAATTCGTGATACTTCACATGCTATTCTTCTCAAATTATCTGTCGTAAATTTTCTTTTCCATGTCTCTTAAGAATACTTCATCCGTTCCTAAATACTCCCTTTTATCCATTTCAAGTGAATTGTTGCTTCGGGGAGTATTGGCCATGAAATTCTTGCTTTTTTAACAACTATTTTGTAATTATAGAGGCATCACATGTACTTTTTAGTGTAACCAAAAAAACAATTGGCAAGGGAGTGGGGTATCTACATAGGTTGGTGAGTTGATTGAGATTCTGCTTAGATCTTTTCCCAGAAAGAAAACTGATCAGAAAATGATATATGGTCCTATTAACTCAAAATTGTAAACGTCATTAAAATATTATATATGACAGCAGAATCTTAGAACAACAAGTCAAAATAACTCAAGGAGATCAATTACCAGGAAACAAGAAGTATGATGGTATTTACTCAACAAATTATCACTTGTTTCAACTTGTTTTCCTAAATTACAATAGCATGGGAAGCTATTTCAGAAAGGGCGCCTTATTGAAACCAAAAAAAAAAGGGGTACCTTATCCATATAAAGCTAGATGAACTTTACAATGGAGAAAGAAGCAAAGACTGCACAAAAAGGAAGTTGAATGAAACTCCTGGCTAACCAAAAAATTGTACCTCCAGATCTGTTATCATTTTGATCCAATCTCTTTCCTCACCTCGTCTTTTATTTCGGGTGAACAAGATAAGCAACCTCCTCAGAGAAGAAATTATTAGTTGTCCTACTGCAGTTTATCTTCCACATTTCTACAGCGTCAACTGCCTATGGAGGTTGTCTGGAGATGAAGCACATTCTAGTTGAGATCACTTTCCTCAATATACTTAAGCACAGACAGACTGCTGACTGTACAAACCATTTATTCCATGGGCAATTTGCCGCCTGTTTCTTCTTCGCCTTACAACAGGCAAAAAACCCTCTCCATCCTCATGCTTATTTTTATCTACATCAACTGTCTTTGGCCCGCTATATTTATTTGCTTCTATTGGAAGCTCCTTTTTCCCTTCACTTCCACCATGCAATTTAGTTGCACTATCTGCACTTGCTTTGGCAGAGCTAACTAAGAACTCAGACTTCTTTGTACTAACGGGAAATTCACTAGCAACATCTGAATTATTCTGTTTCGACTTCACAATGAAGCTATTTTGTATTTGCCTAGCTAGCTCTTCCCTGTCAGCATGTGAACTACTTTTTGTTGATCTACCATTTTTAACATTAACTGTAGCCTTTTTATCAAGCTTCTCCTCTGCTGAAACTATTGTGACAGAATTATTCAACCCTGTGGAAGAATCAGCGTCAATAGCCACTTTTGAATCTTCACTTGCAGCAGTAGTTGGCTTTGTATTTCTTGGAACAAACTCAGGTGCATGTGGATTCATGATTCTTGGATAATCGTAACTGTTTATTTCAGCAGCAGGCTTTTGGTACTTCACATATCCATTTTTCATGCGAGCATGGCTTGTCCTGGGGTACAAAGGTGATCTGGGACCACAAGGAACTCTCTCAGCAATTGATGGAAATCCCACTGGTTCAGTAAGCATGCCTTGGCTGGCTCTAACATCATAGACACTAGTGACAGCAGCAGAAATCAACATATGAGTCAAATGGTAGGCACCTGGATTGAATGGTTCAGCAGCAGCAGATAGCTTGCTCCCATTTCGTCGTAAACATTTTTCCTCACTACTTGAACATGAAACATCTTCGGACTCCAGGGAAGATTTATCTGACTCAGATCCACTTATCTGGACTTCATCTTCATGGATCCCATGTCTGTCTAGATCATTGGCAGGTGTAGCCTCTGTGGTCACTGAGTGCCTTCCATCTTCTTCTGATGTTTCAGTTGGACTAACGCAGATCTGGGAATCAGTTTTATCCTCATTTAATTCTTCTACTTTCTCCAATAAAGGCTTTAGAACCGTACCTGGTGGAGACACTGCTACTTCTTTGTATGATAAGGATTTTGAGGCCATGGTAGCAAGAGAGGCAGGAGGAGATGGAACAGTGACATTTGATGTGCGAGAAATTTCGGCAACAGTCATTTTAGCTGTGAGTTTGGTTGACTTTTCAGAAGAAGTGAAGCTGGAAGCCTTTAGTTGCTTTGCAGGAGAAAATTCTCCTAAACCATTCTTAGATACCACTTTTTGTCCCTGCGAAGTAACCTCTTTCCTGGAACTGTTGTCTCGAGGGAAAAGGTATTCCAAGTTTGTCTTGATCTTGGCAAGACCAGGTTGCCTTCGGTTGAACATCTTGCCACTGCCATGCCCCGTCCGTGTTTTTGAATTTGCTTCTTGCCAACCTTCATCAGAGCTTGTTTCGTGTATTATTTCCACTGGTTCCTCATTATTAGTGATATTAATGCCTTCAACTTCTTGAGTAGCGACTCTCTCTACGGCATCTTCTTTCTTTTTAACTTCTACTATGGTCACACGATTTTCCGTAACATCATGATTGATGGGATTGTTGCTTCTTCCATCATGCTGTCCTTTTTGAGATTGATCATCTACTGGCAACACCTAAGAGGCCATAAACAAGGAAAGAGTCACAGCGTCAATTGGCAGCTTCAGAAAGGAACAATAATAGGTAACTCAAAATGACCACAGCCAAAATTACCCCTTCCCTCCTCAAAAAAGGAGGTTTCCCAGGATATGTGTTTTCACAGTCACCTAAATACCTGACATGGGGTTAAGGATCATGTGCTGAAGTGTAGCAGGACAGATTTTCCCCATTAGACGAGCTCAATATCATTTCTCTGTTTGATGGTCTAAATAACTTAAGGTGAGATTTTGTACTAGGACTAACTCCTAAGTACATACAGAAAGTTAGCGGCTCTCTTTTTTGAGTTCTTTTCAATGTAACAAGTTTCAGTGAATTCAAGAGTATGAAGTATACACTACCATGCTGAGTGATAAACTACCTTTGAACGTCGTTTCCTCTGCTCTTCTATCGTCTTTGAACCCTGGCCAGGACTAATGTAATCCAGTAGGTCTGACACACTACATCAGAAAGTAAGGAGTTTTGGTTCCTTAGACACAAGCAAGATAGTTCAAGCCCCAGTAACACCAGTTCAAAATAGTTTCAATACCTGAGATGACCTTTGCTAGCAATGGATGCATCTAGTCTCGGAGCTCCTGTTCTTGCAGCTTCTTGCTGCTCTAAGGCCTTCGATTCAAAGTATTCAAGCCATGCAGCAGCATCCTACATATATATTACATATGTAACTCTCCAACTTTAAAATACAGCAACAGATTGGTGATTATTAAGAAGACCCAAGTCATTTATTATCTTCTATTAAGGACCTCATTATTACTGGGAAAATGCCCAATGTAACAAAAATAAAAATCATATGTTATTTGCTGAATACATTTAAAAAAGAAAGCACCACCATGCAGGGAGAGAGATACAGAGATTTATCTGCAGTGTCATCATTTTTTAACTGTTGAAGCATTCCGGAAAAGACTGAGATGTGAAATACATGCTAGAGCCATAGTGGTAACTATTAGAGAGGGAAATCAGGCATTAGATTTGTACACACCTGAGTGCGGAGATCATCTGCTCCTAATTTTGCTTGAAGAATCTGCAATGTAGTTTGTTCATGTTGCACACTCAGTGAATATGCTTCCATGAGAGAAAGAGCTATGGCTATGGCATGATAGCTGGCAGCAGTCTGTCCGAGGCAGCAACAGAGTTAACAAAAGATGTCAGAAAGTAAAGAATATTTTCACAAGCACCTAATTTAATAAAAGGATGATGGTTGGAATATGAGAACTGAGAGAGAAAAACCTGTATATGATCTACTCCCAATAATCTTTGGTTGCATTTAAGGGCTTCGTGTAGATATCTAAGAGCAATATGTACATTTCCCATGCCCTCTTCCATCATAGCCACATTTATATATGTGGCAGCCGTGTTTGGGTGAGATAGTCCACATGTAAAGTGAAGAAGAAATAAAGCACGGTTGACATACCTGGAAATCAATAATGAATTTGCTTCAGTTGTCAATGTAAATAAGAAAAATAAATTAACAGCTGAACATAGTAGGACCAGTCAAGACTTCAACAAGAATGAAAAGGGAATGTGAGAGACCAGACGGAGAAATCTTCTGAGTCCTAAAATTACAATTTGCAAAGCTCAACAAATTTGGAATCAAAAGGTCGAGCAAGACACGTAACTCTTAGTTTCAAAATATGACCAACAAGAAAAGAGAATCTTTTCTCACTCACTTCAGAGCTAACTCAATGTGTTGGAGACGATAGTAGAATACAGAAAGATCCCCATAACTTTTCATTGTATCTGGATGGTCAAGTCCTAGCTCCCTCTCATTGATATCCAATGCCTTCTGTTGATAAATTGTTGCCTAAACAAGAATAATAATCATTCAGAAAGATTATTATCATATATTCTGCAATTATGTATATCCAAGGAGTCTGCATTTCGTTTATTGGTGGATGCCAATGCAATGGTGTGTGGCAGAATACACAAGTGAATGGAAGGTAAAAAGAAAGTGATCTTTTGTGAATTGAAAAAAATTTCCAAAAAGCTGACTGCAGGAGCTTGCATGATTGCAAAAAGAAAACATAGATGTTTAGGAATACTTCCAAAATTGTCTGTCGAACATCAATATGCAAGCATGCCTAAGATATTTCTTCCTCGACTCATTAGCTACTCTTATTAAATTTAAGAACTTGTTCTGGAAATAGATAATTAACGAGCAAGATATGAAAATAAGGAGAAACAAGACTAGTTTAATGTTGCATGCCACTTCATACATCAAAGCCAATCGCTAAAGTTTATGTTACCTGATTGAAATCTCCGGTGTGATAAAGGACAACAGCGAGGAGGCTATATGCACTTGCAGTGGCACGGTGATAGGGGCCACATACAGCTATCATTTTTGCCAGGGCCTTCAAGTAAATACAAAAGCAAGTAAAGTAATGGAATGAACTTCACAGTGTGCGCATGTACTTTTATTTTATAATTTGTACCTTTGTTCCAAACATTACAGCATCTTCCAACTTCCCTTTGTCAAGAGCAACCTTAGATGATTCTAGTAAAGTTCGTCCATCAGCAGAAGAGCATCCAACATGCTGAAAAGCAGATAGTAATTAAATGAAGGTTGCATTTCCAGTATTTTTCACATTCAAAAGGAAGCAGAAGAGACAGAAACGCTTACTTTACACAAAGGCACTACACTGATAACATCACTTTTACTGAAGGGGTATGGGCATTCCATATCATAATCTTTTGGAACCAACTCTAATCCAACCTGAACCAAAAACACATGTCATTAACTTTGAATGGTAAATTTTAATTAATGCAGCCAAGCTTGTAGTACCTTATGACAAAGCCCGCGGAGGACCGTCAATTTCCTCAACTGTTGGAATTCATCTTTTATTGTCCAACCAAATCTTTCAACCAGAAATTTCCTCAACCATTGCATCTTGAGAATGTGGTTTTCATCACTCTCTTGTGTGGGAGAAGACCCGAACAAGAAATTTAAGGTTGAGGCTATAGCAGCTGACAAGTTGGCCACATTGTCAACGGAGGCAATGACAGCTCTAAGTACATGCTTGAAGGCTCGAGTAACCATCTCATGAATACAAAGAGACTGTATATGAGGAAGCTTCTCTGCTTGTTCAACCTGGATTACACAATGACATCAGGCTCATCAGAAGACATCAACAAGTTTCAATTCCGGACAAACAAAGAAAGCCTGAGACAGATTAAGTAAATAAATCTTACCACATGACCCAGAGAACGCATTTGTAATCCTCTTAAATGCATGAAATCGGTAAGGGTGCGTCCATCAACTGGAGAAAGTTCCAACGATGCAAAGTCTGTAACCTAAATAGAATTAGAGATTAGTTTTTCTCTTCATGTATTTCAAAATTTCATTTCATTACCGAAATACATCCGAAACTTTGAATTACCAGCTTCGGGAGAGCAACTTCATCATAATACTTGTGTGCCATTTCGACAAGTTCATCCACTGACTGTAACAAGAAGCATAGTTATCAGTTAACTGTGAGCTATAATATTAAAGACTGATTAAACAAGATATATCTACTTCCTCAACAATTTTCATCAAAATAATAGTATAAAAATATGTTCCAAAAAAACAACTGTTATTGACCTTCAGATGTAGATCCATCCCACTTTCTTTCAAACGAAGGTAAGCTTCTCGAGAGATAAATCTCCTCCATTCAACTTCACACTTTGGATTACCATTACTTAGTTTCATCGAGCCACTTTCTGTGTTCAGAGTGCTGGCTGTCACATCATCTGCTTCATTGTCATCCATGGAACTAACATTATCTGGTTTCTTTTCCCGCTTTTTGAGCATTTTAAACTGCTTTCCAAGCCCCTTAACTATGGGTTCAGCCTTACCACCATTCCCAACTGTGTCTTCTGCTGGTCTTTCCTGCTTTTGTAGATGTTGAACCCAACAAGAACCAAGTTCCCATCTGATGGACCCTTTGGATTTATCATCCATCCCCTTTAACTTACTCAAACCATCCTTAATGATTTTATAAACCAAAGACATTGAATTTGCAGAGTCTTTCAAATCAGACGGGGGCAATTGACCACCTCCAGAAAAACCAGCAGTCACTGGCTTGTGGAGCAGAAGGCGCAAGCTGGAAATGGTTAAAACTCAGAATTAGAAGCAAGCATCTTGTGAGACAAAAAGAAAGAAATTTAACAATTTAGTCCTAAAGAAGAGTGCATCCTCAACAAAAAGATCCCTTGGATCTACACATTGATATCACTGGCCAATGTAAATTCTCATTCACAAACTCAATTTTGAATATTGACATTGTTGACCAATGTGACTTGTGATTCCCAATCAAACTCTTACCATGTTGTTGGTTCCCAACTTATATGAAGTATCATCTTCATACATGCACCAACAGTTATCAAAGTAAGAAAAGGAGGAAACATGCATAAATGCTTGATTGTGGTAACATGTTCAACAAAAGACCTCTACTTAAGTACATTCTTACAGATAAAATTCTTAGTCGTCCAATAACCATCCATATAAAAGTTCATCTAGGTTTATTGCATTTTGTCAAACCTGTTGATGTTGAGTGCATTGGCTCCCCCATCTGGTTGGTCATCGATTTTGATATCCTGAGGCAGACTCTTATCCACCTGAATGTCACCAACAACTTTCACAATTGCCATGTAACCACAATGTTTCACAACCACCATGCTCAATGAGGATGTGTCCTGTCCAATCAAACATATCCTTTCAACTTCCAGAATTGAAATGATTGGTGACAGAGAAAAGATAGGAGAGTATTTTTTAAAAAAAAAGATTATACATAAGGGGGAGGAGAAGGAGAAATGAGGGGATTATAAGGTGAGGAATCAAACCCCACCAACAAGGTGAAAGTTCAAGAACCAATTGACATCATGGAAGTTACAGATATTACCCAAGTCAAAAATAACGCACACCATGGAAACAGCAGCGGAAGAAAGGGGGTGGGGGGGAGGATGTTCCAGAAGGTGAAAAGAGTGTGTTCTCACTGAAACAAAATGCCTACTTAAACCCGCCACCCCCTTCCCCTGGGTGGGTCATGTGTCTACTTGTAAATAAAGGAGGAAAGGCAAATCATACAACAACTATATAAGGGTTTTACAACTTCAAATCTTTCTTCAGGAAGCTTGTTACTTACATGTATGACAACACTTTCATCAGCAGTTACTCCTTTAATTAAATTTATTTGAGCAACATCCTCAGCAGATACATTAGAATCTGTACTGTCGATTACTTTAACTTCTTTCAGGCTAGCCTCCCCGAAATCTCTTTTAACTACAATAGACAAGTCACCAATGCAATCCTCAGAGAGTACTGAACCCAGAGCACAATTTGAGGTATCCCTCGAAGTAGAATCCATGACTTGGTATATGGCCGAGACAGCTTTAAAAATAGAGACGTCGAGGAAAAGATTATGAAGCAAAAAAGCCTTTCGGTCCCGAACCACCCTCTCCTCCTCGGTTTTGCAAGGTAGTTTTGCCAGTACTGCAAAATCTGTGGCCCATGATCTATGATCATGCTCTCCATTCCTTCCCTGACCTCCGCCATTGCCACCCCAACTCTCATCTTCCACTGGAAGGGGAATGAAGTTTGATGCAGAATCAACAATGGATGGAGGGACAAGCCATGTGTTGGCGCGGAAACCATATGGAAGATTACCAAACTGAAAACAACCAACAGAGCAGAAAAATATGCACACAGTTAATACCACTTCATTTTCCCTTGATGATTATTTGCAATAAACAAGATGTCACCTTGTTATGTTCTGTAAAGGCCTTCATCAAGGATTCATATGCCTGCAAAGTAAAATATCAAGCTTTTATTCAACAAACAAATAATTTATACAGAATAGACAAAACAAATTTGAAGCAATTGATATCAATTGTCTCAGTTGGTACTGATAATCAAGCAGACAAAAAAAAGAGCGTGATTTTTCTTGTATTTTCCGCCTCTTTTATACATGTCGTGCATGTTATCATTATCAATCAAATAGAGTGGTGTCTTGCCATTAGATACCATTGATGAATCAACTTTCCTGTTCATACTTGTAGTCTTTTACAAAGTAACTGCAGTCATAAAGAAAATAATGGCACATATATGGCAAATGTGATGGATAATCAGTGTGATTAAGTTTACTTAGTGAATAAAGAACTTGATGCACAAAAAATATTTGCAAATTATACGACTGATGCTGGCAACAATGGAAATATATTGAGTCTATCAAGGTACTTACATTAGCAAAAGCTTGACTGAGCTGTTGCAGAAGATCAACCAAGCAATGGCTTCGCATAAGTGGCTTCCCCAAAGTGTAGAAACCTTTTGCTGCTGCAACCACTTGCAATGTCTTTCCATTGCATATCTTAATCTGCAGAGAGTTTTTGCATCATCAAAATCTTCAACAAATGCAAAACCAGATTATTATTTTTTTTAAAAAGTACCTGTAATTCAAAATAGTCGCCATCTCGCCTTGTTTTAGCATTGTTACAATCCACTCTTTTCAAACCTGAAATATCTCAATTAGAAGAAATGCACGATAAATTCTACAGTATTCCAGATTGAAATTTGGAAAAATCGAAAGGGAGAAGAAAACGCACTTAGTATAGGAGGAGAGAGGTGAGAGAAAGAGAAGAACTCGTAGAAATCAGAGAGCTTAGGAATTGGATGAATCGCCATCATTGCATTCTCCTCCTGCACCGCCGGAGCTGACGGCTCCAATGTAGGTGCCACTCCATCTGACGGCGAAGCTGGTCGGCTTGAAGCATTTCGCTGCGCCTTGGGCTTCTTAGCCCGAGATTCCAAACCGGCGCCGCCGGAAGCGGCGGAGGCAGTGGTGGATTTTCCGGCCTTGGGCTTAGCGAAGCGGGTAGTGCAGGCGACGATGTCGAGTAACCTCCGGACATGATCCACCACCTGAGACTCCTCCGTGTAGTCCTCTGACAAGTTAGTGGCATTTTTGTTAATAACATAGAAATTTCGGGCAATGAACAAAGTATCTAAACTCTTCGCGCGCGGAGGAAGTAAAATCTTTTAACTACTTATAAAAAATAATCTCTTACGTATAAAAATAAAATAAAATTATATTATAAGCTAATTTTTCGGCGCCACACATATGAAGTAGTTGATTATGTATCGCAGGGGTAATTGTGAATGAATTTTCGATGATTTTGCATGGGACCATCAGACAGAATACATATCGATGGTATGAAAAAAAATCAGAAGTAGCACAACAACATTAAACAAGGAAGATACTCTCTGCCGGCGCTTGAAACAGATACCACACGGACTTTTCTTTTCTTTTCTTTTTTTCCTTTTTTTGTTTATATTAATTGTAGGGATGTTAGGTGAAGCTTTTATATTTGACGGTAATTGTGAGGTTTAATTAAATAATTATTCTAATTAGTGACTTGTTAACACCGATGCATGCCATTGGTTTAAACAAAACTACACTTCTTGCCTTTGGCAAATTGGGTTGGTGAGTAGAATTAAGACTAAAAGTGTCGATGTAATATGAGCCGAGTAAAATGAAGCATAAGGAGTGTAGGAGTGTTTATCGTTAAATATTTATATTTAATAAACTTTTTGAATATAAATATTTTGAATTCATTTGAATCACGTGATGTTATAGCTCCATCCCTAAAAACATGTATAAATGAAAACCTACCTTCAACCATTTTCAGCAGACATGGCTTGAGAGTCGCAATATCTAACTTGTCATTTAGCTTTGGTCCCTTCACCTGTTCAAACCACCATCACTTTTCCATATTAATTAACACACTTCTTATTTTGAATAAATTAAAATTTAAATATAATAAATAACAATAAAACCAAAGATTAACCAACTGGGCTAACTTCCAAAATATACAAAGAGACAGAGGAAAAACTCATCAATTTTGAACTAACCTCATGAGACAGAGAATAGTTGGTAAAATGACATGTTTCAACATTGGCAGATAGTAGCTTCCTTACATCCAGTATCTTGTCCGTCGATATGCCCTTCAACAAATTCAATTTTAGTCGGCCTTTAGACATAAAAATTGAATTCCGAGAAATTGTAACAATTTTATGTTCAAACAATTTCTAGGGAAAAAAATGATAAAAATTCATGGTCAAACGGACAAAATTAGTTATCTCATCCTCCATACAAGTGACTAATGCGAGTGTTTCTTTGTACTTTTTTCATTTTCAATTGAATTGAATTCATCAATACCTTGAGAACAACTTGAGTTTCATAGGGAGTGATGATAGTTATGTCAAGCACACTTGGAATTACTGCAAAGAAACCAAAACAAAAATGTTAAGAGCACAATAAAATGAATTGAAAAAAAAACAAAAAAAATTGAAACATGTATTGAACCTTTCTCTTCTTTCTTCTTTTTGTCAGTTTTAGCTCTGTTTCCTTTTCCCCTGCCTGATCTTGGTGCCATGAACCTTCAACAACCAAATTCCCCAAAAGTACTGAAATTGAATGAACCAAAAATTCTAAAAAAACTTCAATTTATTTGATGCATATCAAAAGAAATGGTTGTTGTAGTGAATGAGCAATGAGCATGCAATAGATAGAGAAAAACAGAGGGATTGAAAAGTGGAGGAGAGAATGAAAGAGGAAGAGGAAGACTAAATAGTATTGAGAAAGTTTTAGATAGCTTTAGAAGATAGATAAAGCAGTGAAAGGAAATCTAGTGAAAGGTTTTGAAACAAAGATGATAGGATAAGGTGTTGGGGGGTTTTTTTTGGGTTTACCCAAATTACACTATACTATTACTTTTTTTCTTTAGATTTTCAATTTTCGTACTGAAAAATTTCATATTAGAGGTAAAGCGCTAAAACTCAAACATCAATTCTTTAAATTAAGAATGAAGGGATACTTACTGCTTTGTTAGTAATAATTTTTTTTGGAATTCTTTCAATTTCAATAGTGACTTCACCTTTGGCTGCTTAAATGGAGATGAATTATTGTGATAGTAATATTAGAGAGTTTAGAGAGGATTTTTTTTTGTTTTAATGTAATGTGTGGGGTGTGGTGTGTGTTGTGAAGAGATGGCAGTCCAAATTTAACCGTGAATTTAAGACGCATACAAAATTGGTGGACCAGATCACCGTTGGTTTGACGACACGTGGCATCCTCTTGATGGGGTGTCCCCTCCTTTGCCGTTTTTCTTGTTTTTTCATATTTTGGCAGCTTTTAATTATTTTCTCTAACCTATTAGGAGCAATTTCTGAGACCACAATTTTGTCGCTGTTAATTCACTAATGAATTTTTGTTTTCTTAATGAATTTAAGTTTTAAATATTAATATGTAAGAACAAAAACTTACAATCAAATATAATTCTCCATTCAATATGGAAGAGTGAGGGGCCATTGGATCCCGTTATAATCATATAATTGATGATATATGTAAAATTAATTAGTTCATACGATCATCATATAAATATGTGTTAGTATATTGATTTTATATATATTTGATAATTTTATTTGAGGAAGTGGTGTCGCATAACATCGCTTCTACCGTAATACATTTATTTTTGATGGTGTCTCCATCATCTTCAATTTTTTGGTCCAGCTTTACTACCCGTGTATGGACGGAGCAAGGTGTGCGAATTTACTCAAACTCTTTCATCGAAAAATTAAATTGTATATATAAATTTAAAAATTATTTTTATGTATATATTAAATTTCTTTAATTTATTCATATATCTATTTATTTATATTTTAAATTTCTTTAATAAAAATTCTGACACGACTCTATCGACAATTTCGAGGTTGTAATAGATGTGGGGTATGTGCTGGATGTGATTAAGAGAGTGTCACGAAAAACACACTTAGGAGAGTAATCATTTTCAAACAAAGACTCCAGCAGTGTGTCCACAAAGTTCACGTTTTATGTAGTAATTATTAATCCTTGTTTTGTAGTAGTCATTACTGCAATATTTTACAGTTCATTTTATGAAAAAAATAAATCAACAAGGACTCACGAAAAATATTTGTAAATATCTAAAAAAAATTAGGCCAAATTCGGCTTTCAAGTGAAGTCTAGGAGAAAGGGTGTGAAATTAAATAAGTATTCTCTTCGTTTCATTTTACTTGACTCATGTTTATTTAATACCATCATTAAAAAAGTTGATTAATTTTACTACTAAACTAGCGTATTAATTATGTTTTGAAAATCTAAATTTGACTATAACTTTGACTAATATTAGAAGGGTATATTGATTAAAATATTATTATATTAACAATATAATTTAATTCAAAGTAATTAGGTATCTTTAAGACTTTAACCTGTAAACACGACAGACTTTAGCTGAGTTAACTATAATTAGTATTTATAAGTACGAATATATTATCGCAGGAACATATTGTATATAACTTATAATATCTCTTTGTAACCATTTTCTTGATATATGTTTTTTGTGTGGCTTTGGTTAATCTGTCATGAGTGCAACATAGTTGTGTGGGAAAATAATTTAAATATTTGAATATGTTCTTATATCGTCTCTAATTAGCTGAATAAAACAATGTATTGTTATCTTATCTTAAGATAAAATTTATAATTTTATAAACTAGTTTTTGAGATCGATCTAGATTGTTTACTTTCTTATTGGGGTCATCTATAATATATTGTCCATATTTCATACGTCCAACTCTAAATAGTTCTTGCAAGAAGAAAAGAAAAAAATCTAGTTTCCACAATATGCCAATCAAAACGAATTTAAATTGATACATAAAATTATTTTTAAGTTCATTTTTATTTGTTTATTTTGTTATACTTCTTTTAAGAAATAATAATTAATATAAATATTTTCATCATAATATTCATATTAGTTGATTATAGTCTAAATGCTGGAAGAATTTTTATTACTCCTTATGTCCCTAATTACTTGTCTATTTTTCTTTTTTTAATAGTCCTTAATTACTTGTCCATTTTAACAAATAAAAAAAAAATCTTCTTATACTCTCAATTAATTACTTTGAAAAAGGTAGAACTTTTTTAAAATCTTAAGTTTTTTATTGATCCATTTCATAATTAATAGGGGTAAACTCTTTATGACAATTATTATTTTCTTAATAGATGTGTCAATTCAAAAGTAGAGGGATAGAGAAAGTATTATTTTTGTTTTTTCATATTCAATATCTGCATTAGAGCCCGACTATTCTCAATTCGCGTTCCGAAAAAGGCTGGAAGGATTATTCGAACAGCCTTACTATAGTATATATAGACAATAAACGTCACTATAATCGAAGCAGGACAGGGCAGGTTGTTGTTATTTACAGTTTGGGGCGGGAGAATTGTACTTTGTTTTCATTGTTTTTTCCAAAACACACAAATTTGTGTTAAAAAGCCTAACTTGTTTGTACTTATTGCTAAATACAAACACTCTAACAGCATTTCAATTTTTTCCAAAACCTTATATTTTCAGATTTAAATTTTGAAAAAAAATATATTTAACTAGCATTATCAAAATTCTATTTGTGATATGTTGTGATATAATTGAGGTGGAAAAATTAATTCTAACGCCATCATTATTTTAGAAGGAAAAAAAACTAGCACTCCTATTTAATTAGATGTACAGAATTCTGTTAGGATCTTCTGCTTTTGTGTTTTCTCACCATATGTTATATTTCCAATGTTTTAAAATAAGCATCTTTTTATAACCTTTTATCTATTCAAAATAAAGTCAAATCTTTATCACTACAATTTCCTAAACTTCTAAAAATATGTGTGAACAACAATTATTATATTTAATAGACTTTCTAAATGTGAGACCCTTCACAAACTAACTTCACATTTTTTTAATTCTTCCTAATTCACTCTTTTTTAATTCCTCTTTCTTCATTTTTTTTGTCATCCTTTCTCTATTATTTTCCATTACATGTAAAATAATTATATTATACAAATTCTAATTCCATAAGATATTTTTAGATACAGTTTATCATTGATTTTCTAATTTTGAACTTTTAAAATAACATTTATTTATTTCTATTATATACAAATCATCCAACTCTAAAATCAAGCACATAAAAAAAAATATTCGTTAATATCTAACTTCATAATATAAAATTTGTTGGGGGATAATATTACATTTGTTTTCTTTATTTAAATTTCTTTATAGTATATTTAATACACTATCATCAATATTAAAAAGTATATGATTTGATTATTTTTTTCCTTCACTAATATACTCATTTGAATATTATATTTCATAATCATCTTTTAAAAAAAGAAATAATTTTTTTTTATGATTAACTTTAAAGATTATTTTTTTCAGATAATAACAAATATTTTTTTAATAAAGTTTGTACTTTTATGTGATAAATATAGGAAGATAAGTTTCGTGCAATAAATTTAATAGTTAAATGACTTTTATGTATTAGAAAAATAAGAAAGTAATTTTTTGCTTATCATTATATGAATATTTTGTTCAGTTAATAAAAAAAAAAAATTATGTATGTGTATAGTTGATTTGATTTTTTTTTTAAAAATAAATACTGTTCAGCTAATCAAAAAAAATTGTACGTTTTAGTTAAAAAAAATAATTGTAATTTTGTTTTTAAACATTAATATTTTTCATTATATACCATACAAATTATGTTCTACATATACATAACTAACACTCCTTCCTCTAAACCTCCCCCGAACTCAATTATGTTCATAAGGTACCAATGCATACCTTTGAAGAAATAAAAAATCGCTTAAAATGAATCTCTTTATTGAAGAAAATAATTAAATTTCTCATTAATAATAACTACAAATGACTATCTTGCCTACTTAAGATTATACTTAATTGTTTTGTAATACAAATTTAGTAAACTATAGTAATTTTTAATTGATTTTAAAAAAAATATAATTAACTAAATAGATTAGTCTATATAATGGATGTTTTTCAAGAAAAATAATAATGTTATTTTTGAAAATTAGATATTTCTAAAAAATAATTGATGATAAGACATTTATAACTATGCCATGAATAACACGTTAATTTTTTATATCATAATCATTCCAAACAAGAATTAAGATATATAGAAATTGGTGAAATTATTTCACTAATTTTAACCGTGAATACAAAATACAGTTACTCCAATAATATTAATGAAGAGGATGTTTCAAAACAAATAAATAAAAGATCACTCAATACCTATTTATCAATTATAATACTTTAAAATAGATGTATTTTATGTAGGATGCTATATTAAATTACAATATGTTTAATGTATGTAAATAAAGTATAACATAATTAGGACATACATTTTTTTAAAAATATTTTCATTTAATATAGAATTTTCTATCGAAGGAGATAATTAAAATTCATGTTAATAATATAAATAAAAATAATTTTTTAAATATAATTTGAAAAATATTTCAATAACGATAATCAAAACTCAAAATACTTTAGAATTGATAAACATCGACACATTATAGAAATACATAATTAATTTTTTTAAAACATAACAATTAAATATGTAGTTTAATTTAAATATTGTAGTTTTAAACGCGTAGTTTAATTTTTTAAAACATAATAATTAACAAATATGCAAAACTACAACATTAATGTGTAACTATTTTGGGTTGTTGTTAAATAGGATCGACACTTACGAACCATATGACTTTTAGCATATCTTTAATGTGTGTCGATGTCTACCAGTGCTAGAGTATTTTGAGTTTTGACTGTTATTATTGAACTATTTTACATTATATTGTAAAAATCATTTAAATGCAATTTAAATAATTATTTAAATAGGTAATTTAAATTTATTCATCTAATAAATACAATAAAATTACTTAATTTTAAAAATTCTTAATCAGTTTAAAAAATTATTAATTTGAGAGCAAAATAATAATAATATTGTGACTATAACTATGTATACTTAATATTTTAACATATCATTTAATAACAAACATTTTTTTATCAAACAACAAATAATACTAATAAAGAAAAATATACATGTGATGAAACTTTGATCTAGTTCTTGCTTAACATATTTGTGTTGTCATTATTATCGGAGAACTATGAAGA